CCCTTCTCCCGGAGCCCCGCCCCTGCGTGCACCAAGCCCCGCCCCCTGCCCCCTGTCTCCCCCGTGCCCCTGCTTCTCGCTTGCCCGCTTGCCCCAGCGTCTTGCCCCCGACCCGCCCTCGCCCCCTTACCCCCCCACTGTGCTCCCCCCTTCAGGTTCAAGCAGCTAAGAACTCCGGGGGGAGGCCCGTCAGGCTGGCTGCAGGCGGTTTTCCTTATCCCCGGCAGCAGCCGAGGGGGTTACGAGGCAGGAGGGATGAAATCCTGCACCCTCCAAGCCCAAAGGCACCATCCTGGAAGCGTTCCCAGGCTTTTTCCTTGTCTCCGTTTTTCCCAAGCTCCAGAAATGCTTCCCGCTGATGGGCAAACAGTGGTGTTGTGCACCGAGCAGCCTGCCCCGGCTCCCTTCTCCTTCTGGCAGGACAGGCAGAGTGCAAGCTAAAAGAAATACCCTGTGATAATTAAACAGGGAAGGGTTTTGTGCTACATTTACAAAAATCAGGTAATTTCTGGTAGGTACCCTTTGTGGAAGAGAGCCCCACGGCCAAAAGTGGCAGGTCAGGCGATGGTGAGTCTCTATACAAAGAAATCCTGCCTGGGACTAAAAGTCCTCTGATTGCAGAATGGGTATGTTGCAAGCGACAGAAGTTTGGGCGATGAACGTGCAGGTTTAGACCCTGCTGATGAGCCAAATGGGTACTGATAGGAGAGCACACATCTGAATTTCCCCCCCGCCCTTATTTACAAAAAAATCTAGAAAATGCACACAAAAAAAGCCTATGTTAAATGACTGTTGTTAAAGGTCTGAAGCAGACAGAACTTAAAAACCACCAGAGTTCAAGTTGCTAGTCCATACCCCAGCTCAGTTGCCTGTTGCACGGGCTTTACGATGCAGTCGGTATTTCCAGGATTACATTTTTTTTCCCTCGAGAGGTTGTCTCCGTCAGTGCTTGAGACTGATGGATCTTGGAGGATGAGACTGATCTGGGTAAGGAAAGAGGCAGGTTAATTTGCTGCAGAAGTTGGAAAACACGCCAAATGGCACAGGCGGTAGGAAGAAGAGGAAAGCTGGTCCCTTGGAGTGGCAGCGGGTAACGGCTCTGCATTTGTCAGAGCTGACATACATGCTGGGTAGATCACTTAAACTCAGATTTTTGGGGGTGGTTGCTAGCTAATTCAGTGTGCCTGCCTCGAGCCACTGAAAGTCTGGCAGGAATATGTGCTAAATGCTCCTAAACTACAGCTGAAATAAATTGAGCTGTACTTTGAGCATGTGCTCCAGGACAACACATGCTTTGAAAAAAATCACCCTTGGGTGTTTCGGTGAGACACTGAAACTTAATGGATATTTTTGACCTTCATCTTTGGCTAATGTCTCTCCTTCATCTTGTAGAGAGATGGTGAAAATAAATTAGCGTTTACAAAACGTGCATATTCTATAGGGGTAACAGGCATAAAACAGTTGACGGGTAAATAAGTAATGCCACCATCAGAGCGGGATCTGGGTATCATGAAGTAACGCCTTAGGTAACAGGCTGAACAAGGAATGTGAACCTAAACATTGAGTACCTGGTCAGGATCCATGCCGAGCACTAAGCAAGACGGCAGTCCCCTGCTACGTAGAGACCGCGTTGTAACTCATGTGCAAAGCACGGGTAAATTAAGGGCACGGCTGCAAGTTTGCGGTGTGCATTCTACCAGGGTACGAAATGCGTCTCTAGTAACGGGACCGGTGGATCCACCAATGAGTTGATTCGGTTAATGCCCTCTGGTTGCTTCATATATTCCTAACGATAGCAGAAAGAACACAGGGACTTGCTGCCCTTTGGCTGTTTCTGTTGCTCTCCGCTGTAGCTGTTGCTTGGTTTGCAAAATTACGTTAAATTGCTTTGGTTGTTACACCCGAGGTCGCTGCTGCAAGCTTCTGCCTGGGGAGATCGAGATGGAGGGCTCAAGGGATCCAGCTGGTCAACGACAAAGACCTCTTGGTGGTTTTGGGGGACAGATCCAGTGTCTATTCTTCGCTATCCTTCCTAACACCCAGGCGTGGGCACAGCCGGTGAACTCTGCGTAGGAAACTCATGACTGCAGAGGTGCCCGAAGAAGTAGAAGTGATCCCAAAAGCTGAATTTGATGCTAATCTGTGTATGTTTGCCGGGATATTATCATTCCTCAAGATGCTGCCGCTGCAGAAGTGAAGCCAAAATGCTCAATTCCTTTCTTCCAGCAATCAGTTCAACTTAATCTTAAATTGCTATTCAGAAGCACTAAAGCTGAAAGCTTATCTTTTATAAATGAAATCTGAGATTTTCTCTTTATAATTCTTCATGTTCAAGTCAGGGAATAATGGCTTCAGGTTTAAGGGACCCAGTTATTTAGATAATGTAACGGAAATAAGTAATGTGGCTATTCTGCAGTCCCGGCATAGGGATTATTTCAGGTTTATCTTATGCACATTAATAAACTTTTGACTTCTATAAATCGATATGCCAGGCACAAAGTAATTTGAGCTTGCGCACATTTATCTAAACTGATGCAGAAGACAAGCAGGCTGAACTTCTGAGAAAAGAAGAAGGTGAGAAGATCAGAGCTCTTTCTCACTCGTGATACTCAAATTATAAAGGCATTCACCGTCTGAAAGATTGCAGAATAGCTGTGTTTTATGAAGGAAAAGGAATTACATTCTTGATGTAATTGTTCAATTACGTTGTACCTCCCCACGTCTTTATTGTTATTAGCTAATAGTAATGAAATAATGAGTTTATGAACTTTGTCTGTAGCGATTACTAATTTGTAACCTGAGTTCAGTTGATGGAAGCTGATGGGAAGGAACTGTTTTTATTAGATTAATTTCCAGGGAGAGTTTTGGTTATTGGCTGATGTATGTGTCTGTGCATTTTCTTAACAAGATAAAATATTTCTTAAACAAAACCTTTCTATTTTAATCTTGACAGGAGAAATAAGTGCCTTTGAAATGTGCAGTTATTGGCATTCTAGATGAGGACTAAAACACTCCCAAGTGAGAACTTGTCAAATAATAATCACAAACATCTTCTAAAAGGATTCAGGGTCAGCTTTCAAATAAATTATTTGCATGTGCATTTTGACATCATTCAAACAGGTCAAATAAATTATTCATCTTTTTTTGCCATTAGGCTAAATAATTTATTCATGTCTCCAGTATCCAGTAGCTAACCTTGGTACCTGTGAAACTTTCTCATTCCTGAGTCCGAGCTGAGCATGAGCTGGTAAATTAGGCGGGTAGATAACGCTTTAACTCAACTTAACTAAAGATTCTTGTCTTTAGTTGGGCTAAAACACGACTGCGATCACACAGCTTGGTTTAGATATGAGCTAGGGTTGGCTCTCAACAATCATTTCATGTTTTTACTCATTTATAATATTTCTGTCCTTGTGTATCGTATTTTCTGATAAGCTAATGACTGTTGCTTTGAAATCTATTAAGTGTCTGAGTATCTAAAAGCGTATCACCTGCCCGAGGAGTTCAAGTTAAATCAGCAGAGTATGACTTGCTTTGCGAAGGCAAAAAAAAGAGAGGTGAAGGTTAAACGTTTCCCCTAATTATCAGAGTGAAAAAAAAACTTCCAGGTAGCAGAGAGAGAGAAAAAAAAAAAAGGATATGGAGGAAACAAAGAGCAGCTGGGATTTTCTTTGGGCTTTTTACACCCATGGTGAGGTTTACTCACCAGTTTGAAAACTGCTGGTCTGTGTTGCAGGTGTTATTTATCATGAAGGTCTTAGGTAAAGGGGATATTTTTTGAATGAAGTGCCTTGCTTTTTCAAGAGCTCGGCATAAGCAGGTTGTGGAGCTTTTATCAGCCTTGCAGCAAGAGTTTACAAGGTATTTTTTGAAGAGGAAGACATGAGCAGAAAGAAGCAGATGAAGACACCTGGCAGTTTTTCTTAAAATAATTTCCAGTTTGCCACCAAGTTCTCTCCAAGCAGAGGAGAAGTTCTGGGGAGATTAGTTTGATTTGGTAAAGATTTAGGGCAGAGGTAATAAGATTTTATAGATCATGTCCATCCTGCATGGCATGGGAATTACGGGTGCATAGCATTTATTTGCTCAATAGCTTTACCGCTTAGTAAACCCACCCATCCGAAGTGAGTACGGATAAAGCACTTTTTGGTGTAGTACCGTCAGCTTATCAATATCGGCTATCAGCTCCTGTAGTTTTCGATTCCAACCAGGGTAAGTGGCTGTGGCTACAGATGGTGGCAGAGGACTTCCAAAGGCAGGATGGTGAACGTCCCTGGAGGAGGGATTAGAGCCCGGGTGGGGGTTAATCGCATTCAGCACCCAACGGGCTGTGATAAACCCTGTCCCTTGTGTTTTCAGAGGCTGCACAGCGGAGTTCTCCGAGATCTTGAGCGTCAACGTCAGAAAAAGGAGAATATTCGCCTGCTGGAAGAGCAGATTGCGTTGACAAAGCAGCTTATGGAAGAAAGAGAGAAGGCGCGAATGGAAGAAGGGTCCCAGCAGTCCTAGGCACAGACCTGAGTCACCAGGTTTGATGAAAGAAAGACATTTGGAGATCCTTGCTATCTAACTACTTGGAAGCGTTTCAGCAAGCCGAGGTAATCTGTGAAAGACTGTTTCTTTCGTATAGGTTATAATCCCGTCCCAACAGCTATAGGGCGGACACAAAACATTTCTTCTGTCCTCGGTACTTTGACTGTCGAGGCTTGGCTGGCGTGGATGGACTTGTCAACGTGGGGAGGAATAGCTCCTTGTTATGCAAATGCCATCTAGGATGGCTAATAACGTTCACATGAGTGGGCTGCTGAGCCGCCACGATGACGAAGCCACCAGGACCTCCACCTCAGAGGGCCTGGAGGAGGGTGAGGTGGAAGGGGAGACCCTCCTCATCGTCGAGTCCGAGGACCAGGCTTCTGTGGATTTATCGCACGACCAGAGCGGGGACTCTCTGAACAGCGACGAAGGTGACGCGTCCTGGATGGAGGAGATGTCCTATTACTGCGAGAAGTGCCAGAAGTGGATTCCAGCAAGTAAGCCTGCCGGCTGGGTTACGTCTCGCTCGCGTTGCCCCGGTTGTTGCAGTTACGCTGTCCCGCGTACCTGTTTTACGGGGCAGCTCCTTCTTTAGGTGTATCCCATCCCATGTTGGAGGAGAAAGGCTGTCTTGGCATTGCCTGATGCCAGCGGTGCGCGTTACAATCCATGAACTGTACGGGTGTCCGAAGCTGGTATTCCCTGTAAAGAAATGGGACCGGCGTCTTTAATTAGTAGAGAACAAGGGTACGACTTCAGAAACACGCGCGCCCTCCCGAGCCTCGCCGCTGGCCTATTTAGGGGACTTTGGCCAAGCAACTTGGCCCCTGCGCTCACTCGGATAAAGATAATGACCCTCGGTGTAAAGCTCTGGGAGGAAAAGGGCTTTGGGATGGTGTTGCTTTTTCTGTTTTTTTCTGGTCAGTTTGTCACATCTGTGGAGCATATGGCTAAATCTCAACCTTCATGGTTTGCCGGTAATGTGAATTTAAGTTAGCTTTCACAGAAGCGTGTCCAGCCTGTGTCAGCTAGCTCTGGGACGCGTTTGCAGCAAACTGCAGAACTTGATCCCTCTGCTACTGCTGCTTGACATTAGATACATGTTGTTAGCAACCTAACGGACTAGACTATACTTTCTAAATTGTGGATTATTGGATCTATTATTAGATCCAAAAGCTAGATCTGATAATCTAAGCTTAGCTTAGATTGCTAAACACCTTTTGGTTTGGGGGTTTGGTTTTTTTTTTTTGAAATTTTTGGTGTTTTTTTATTTTGTGTTTGTGACTCTTCAGGTGGCACCTGCCTTGCAGATGTGTCAGAGCTGCCCTTTTTGCCATCTTAAAATTTGCCAGAAGTCACAGTGTAGAAATCGCCTCTCGAGGCACGTTAGTGAGTGTTTGGATGTTAATGTGGTGGAACCAGCATCATACTATTAAGGTAGTAAGCAGTTAAAGGGACATATTAACTTGAAATGCATTAATTAAAAAAAAAATGGAGCAGAGTTAAAGGTAGCATGAGAGATCTCATCTTACAGCCCTTGATTTAACACTCAATTTGTTTTATTTTACAAAGATGTTCCTCTCTCTCGTTGCTGTGGAACAAATCCAAAGAACAGAAAAAAGCCAATCACAGAGCAACAGTAACTAGATACAAATGTACAAAGTAAACGAGCTGGAAAAGGGAAATACTGTTCTCTTTGCTAATTGTTCAGTTATATGGATATCAGTTGTCACTTGTGAAAAGCACCAACATGCTCAGACAAATAATCACTTTTTACATTGAATTGCCATGTTGAAATTCTGTCAATCTACTAAGTGTGGGGGGTTTTCCCCCATCAGACACAGGTGCAACTTTAATAGCTAGATTCTGTAATTCATTATGGAAGCAGAGCATCTATTACAAATGCTTGCTCTGGTGTCATTATACAGTAAAAGAGATGTCATACTTTTAGAGAAAGACCTTTTGTGTGTGAATTTTCAGAAATGCCGTAGTCTTAACTGTTTCCCTGTCCTGTGATTTTATTTTTTAATTTTTCATATTTGTGTAAATTAACCCCTGGTGAGTTTAGAAGTTCTGATTCATACGATGTCTTTTTTCTCTGCTGCAGAAACATAGAATTAGAGCCTGTAACTTCAGGTTTTACGGGTGGCTGTATCCCAGCAGATCGCTTTTGTTCAGACAAACTTTTATGCAGGGTTAGCTTTACACAGCAAAAAGTGCTTTGCTGAGTTGGGATCTAATGCATCAACTGCAGTAAAGAAAAAGTGTTTGCTGATAACATTGGGCCGTTCTTTTGGCTCAAGGAAAGCAGATCTTCCCCTGATAGGAGAAATAAATACCTTAAGGCTTCACACCGTGTCTGCTCCAGTGCATCCCGGAGGCTGCTGTAAACAGGGACTGGCAACCTTACTTCAGTAACAATTCATGGACAGGGGAAGAGAGAGCTGTAAAGACATGCAGCAGTGAGTGGGAAGATGACGTGGAAGAGAATGCTTGTATATTCTGGTAGCTTTTGCAGTGGCATACCTTTTTTTAACAGGTCAGCTTTTTTTTTTAAGTAGAGTGGGAAAACAGTTATTTATTGAAGTATATAGGTTATCCTGGGGAGCAAGAAGGAATGAGAAATGCAGCGGAAACAAGGAAATCTTTGGCTTTGTACCTGCTTTCAGATGTTAAGTAGAATGCCCCTTTTCATGCCTGTGCTCTTCAGTTGGTCACTGCTGGAGCTGTGAAAGGAACCTGTGCCTTCCATCGCCGCGAGTTCCGATGCTTCCTGGGAACTGTCTGGCTCTCTGGACTCTGGGAAAAAGGCAAAAAATACTTTTCTGCCTGATGTTGTAGGAAATCGAAATCTCCTTTGCAGCACTTTTTCCTATAAAAGGACTGAGAAATTGATTTTTGCCTATTCATTTTAGGTCAACTGAGAGAACAGCTCAGCTACCTCAAAGGAGATAACTTTTTCAGATTTACTTGCTCTGATTGCTCAGAAGATGGGAAGGAGCAATTTGAACGGCTGAGATTAACATGGCAACAAGTAAGTAAAATGTTTGTGGCAGCAGAGCAACCACAGGACTTTCTAAAATTGTTGTTTGTTGTGTATGTGCTACCTAGAAAAGGAGGATCAGGTATAGGTAACACAGAAACATATGCATGAACTTCAGAAATTAATTATCTACGGATTGCCTGCATATTAGAACTTGGGCATTTGGCAGGTAGATTGAAAGATAATCATACAAACCACATTCCTTTTTTTTCTTCTTTTTTTTTTTTTTCTTCCCCTTATGTTGCTCATGAATTCATGGCTTCGGGCAGGTTTGGAAAAGCAAAATGAATGCAATTTGGCTGCTAGGCATGAACAGTTTTTTGTTTATATGAGCAAATGTAAAACTAGTGAGGTGGCAACATACAAACAGAAAGCTTGCCAGGTCCCTGAACACAAAGCTCCAACCTGACTGCTTACTCATTAGCAGCAGTCCTTGCTGGAATTTGCTATTTCGGTCACTTGCACACCTGAGCAACCAAAATAATTTCCATTATACAGCAACCACCGTATGGGTAGACTGACGTACATCGTCTTGCTCCAAGCAGGGCGCTGGAGGGGCAGGCGGGCGGTGCTGGTTCCCTCGGCATAAACCGAATTTGACCAGGCAGTAGCTGTTGCTCAGCATTAAGTGTTTCCACATGCTGAGCATCGGGCGGTATGCGCGAGGCATCTATTTGCATCCTTTGGGACAGCAGTGGTGTGTTGTCTCATAATAGATCATTTAAAACATCAGTACAGCCAGGTCTCTTCAGAGTGGCATGGGGAAGGGACAGACAAAATCAAAACGGGTGAGGAAGAAAGTTGACTAGTGAAGAGACCATCTCCCTAGGCTTCCAGCAGCCAGAGCTGCTGCTGCTTCTGGGTAAGTCGAATTGAGGGAAGTGGTCAAATCAACTTCTCTGACGTAGGAAAAATGGGGACAGTGATTTCTGGATTTTTTTCAGGGTATGTGGCCTCAACAGATCCTTCTCTTTAGCCAGTTGAGAAGAGAATTGATTTTGAAGTCCTGAGACACTGTCCCACCTGACTTAAAAACCACAAAGTCCTAGATAAATAGTTATCAAATTAAGAGGGGTTGCGAGGCAGAGATAGGGTCCAGGGAACACTAAAGCTGTCTGTATTTCCTCATTTTGGCATCTTCAGCAATGCATTCCAGAAAGCTACGGCCCACTGCGAGGAGACCCAACTCCCTAAGAAAAACACATTTCAGACTTCTCTGACAGTGAAGAACAAGTCCCTATTAGAAGTAGTATCCAACCGAGGCTGTGTGATTGTTGAAAGATGGTCCCAGCCCAGCTGACTTGAGTTGTATTCAAATGAATTGGGTAAATGTAATTAACAGTTGATCACCTAGGATCTACTTACAAAGAGGTGTGATATTTGTCAAACCTGCCCTTTAGTTTAGGTGTGTAATAGGTCAGACTGAATTTGGTTGTGAAACACGAGTGAGCTGTAAATTGATTGTGTTTAATGAAAATCACCTAGAGACAACTTATTTCTTATAGACAAACTTAGTTCTTGCATACCCAGAACAATTAGTAGATATGTAATTTTACAGAGAGTTTACAGTCTGTACAGTTTGAAATGTAACAGTAAGTATCCAGAAAGACCGTTGTCACTACCTTTCTGATGGATCAGATAGTGGGTTTACTTGTGACCATTTTTTTGGAAAGACTTTTTCCCTACCTCCACACTACATTCAGACCCCAGCTGTGATATAATTCATTTCTACAACCACTGCGAAAGCTTGTATCTCAGCATAAACCTGCATGACTAGGCAGCTTGTTATTCCCTTGGGATGGAGAAATCTCTGGGAGAATGTGCATCTAACAATAGAAAGACGAGAACGGGCAGCATGAAAGCAGGAAGAAGATGGATTGCAGAAGTTGCCTGTGAGATGTTGCAAAAATAAGATGTTTATGAGGGAGCAAAGATTTGTGTGTGTGTGGCGG